TAAAATCAAGAAACTCCTCCGCTATTCCTCAAGAGACACGATACTCGGGGAAAAACCGAAAGGTTAGAGTCCGTTTTACTACAACGCCGCGTAAGCGGTTATCATCATACCAGAGAACCTCAACTCTGATGGACATCAGAACTGATCAACTCTGATGACATCAAAGTAAAAGTCTCTGATATATACCAGAAGACCTTCTGTTATGATCGTAACAGAGAACATCAAACAAAGGTGGTTCTCTGTTGACACCAGAACAGAAGACCTCATAGGTATTCTGGTAAGGTATTCTGTTGAGGTATTCTGATCAGAATCTCAACATCTGCTACTCTTCTCTTAGCACAGAAACAAGAAGACAGAAGACCCACTTGCAGTCAGAATGACAGAATGCATAGAAAATAATATTACAAGAAATTATGTGACAAAATTTCATGTAACATTATTTACTAAAAGCAAGTAAACTTATCCTGAGGAAAGCATTGAACAACACCCGGCCTAGATACTGAATTTCTGTAAGCTAAAAAGATAAAGATAAATTATCTTATCTTTGCATCGAAATGATGAATCAAGTTGAGTGAAGATAAAATGATCTGTGTAGTCTAAAAACTGGGATTAAGGAGGAAAGATAAACTAAGGGCTGAAGTATATAAACGAGCTAATAGGCTTCAGTATTTTTTTTTTTTGTATATTCAATGAAGTAACAAGGCTATATATAGCCATAATAATACTGCGTATTAAACAAAGTGATCCATAAATGACTCAACTAACTCCTATCATTTAGGTATAATCACACGTTCAAAACCAATAAACTAATTAAAGTGCTGAACTGACTCCTCAAAAGTAGCTAAACATGAAGACTAATTCTTAATTTAATTATAAAGAATGAAAAGATCATTTCTTTCCACAAAGCCACGTGTGCATGTCATAGCATGCACCTCCCATGCACAGCTTGGTCAACGCTCAACACCAGGTTCTAGGGTTTCATGTACTATTAGGTTCCAGGGTAAATGTACGTATTCTTCTACGTACATTTACGGAGTATTTATGATCGTACAAAGTGTGTAGAATGTTTGAGTGTTTACGCATTCTATTTAGTCATCGTCCCCATATTACTTCCGGTCCGTTTCTTTTGCCTTTTATTATTATGGCCATTTACTTTTATTTTTATTTATTAATACATATGTACCGTACATATAAAGGTGGAATAGTCAGCCTATCCATCCATTGATTGCTATTACGGAGTATTTGAAAATTTTAAAAGTGTGTACTATACGCTTATACACTTTTACTCCATTACTTAATAGAATGACTATTTTTATTCTACTTGATGCAATGTTTAATTTTCAAATTATATTTATTTTAATTTTTAACAGATAAATTATACTACCTCCGTCCCGCTATGATTGTCTCGTTTTACCTTATCGGTCTGTCCCACTAAGATTGTCTCATACCAAATTTGGCAAAGTTTGTGTGACTATAAATTATTCTTACTTTATTCTTATTTTATCAATTCAATATCAACCACATTAACCATTTTTTATTAATTTGCGTAACACACCCTCTTGTCTCATTGTTAGCGGGACGGAGGGAGTACATGTTTTATTTTGTTTATTTTAGTGATTATTATATTTCTATTTAAAATCTTCGGAGTTGTTATAATATGAAAGGAAATGAGCAGAAGATCAGGGAGAGAAAGTATAGAAGAACACTTAGTGATAGAGGTGTATTAGAGAGTGTGATAATGGTGTAATGAAGGTGTGTTGATTACAATGGAGAAGACTCCTATTTATAGGAGAAAAGCTAAGCTTATTAGGATTAGAGGATAATTGTGAACCACACAATTATCATCTAGAATCATAATTATGATTTCCTAATTATTTATACAATGGTGATAATAATTCCTAATCAGGAATAGTTGGAAGATGACTAATTCAATATATTTCAACACTCCCCCTTGAATGGTCATCTTCTAATTATTCTGGGGTATTAGTATCATAGTATTATAATGTGTTGTCTCGTTAAAAACCTTTGTCAGGAAAAAACCCAGTGGGATAAAAACCTGGCGAAGGGAAAAAGAGTGCAGTGCATTATATTACTCCCCCTCAATTTAACATATATCTCGAAGACGACACATTCCAATTTTGTGGACCAGTTCTTCAAATTTCTTCGGTGCCAATGACTTTGTGAATAAATCAGCAGGGTTGTCGCATGACTTGATTTGTTTGACATCAATTGTTCCTTCTTTTTCAAGATCATGTGTGGAGAAAAGTTTTGGTGCTATATGCTTTGTTCTATCCCCTTTGATGTAACCTCCTTTGATCTGAGCTATACATGCTGTGTTATCTTCATAAATCACAGTAGGATTACAAGTAAAAGATTTTATACCGCATTCATTTTGTATGTGCTGGATCATTGATCTCAACCAGACACATTCTCGACCTGCTTCATAAAGAGCAATTAATTCTGCATGATTTGATGATGTGGCAGTTAATGTTTGCTTCATTGATCTCCATGAGATAGCGGTATCACCATAGGTGAATACATATCCTGTTTGTGATTTTGCCTTTTGTGGGTCAGACAAGTATCCTGCATCGGCATAGCCAATTAAAGTGGCATTTGCACCATTCTTGAAATACAATCCAAGATCAATTGTACCATTGAGATAGCGGAATATATGTTTGACGCCATTCCAATGTCTTCTTGTCGGAGAAGAACAGTACCTGGCTAATAAATTTACTGAAAAAGCAATATCTGGTCGTGTATTATTAGCCAAATACATTAACGCTCCAATAGCACTCAAATATGGTATTTCGGGACCAAGGATTTCTTCATCATCTTCACAAGGTCGAAAAGGATCATCATGCACATTGAGAGATCGAACCACCATCGGGGAATTGAGTGGGTGAGCTTTTTCCATGTAAAACCGCTTCAAAAGTTTCTCGGTATAATTTGATTGGTGGATAAAAATACCATTTCTCAAATGTTCAATTTGAATGCCGAGACAAAATTTTGTTCTCCCAAGGTCTTTCATTTCAAATTCTTTCATGAGATATTTAGCAGTATTTTCAATTTCATTGGAAGTTCCGATTATATTCAAATCATCAACATATACTGCAATTATGGCGAATCCTGATTCAGATCGTTGAATGAAAACACATGGACTAATAGGATCATTTTTGTATCCTTCTTTAACCAAATATTCACTTAGACGGTTATACCACATGCGTCCAGATTGTTTTAATCCATATAATGACTTTTGCAATTTTATGGAAAATAAATCTCGAGATTTCGAGCTATAAGCATCAGGTATTTTAAAGCCTCCAGGAATTCTCATATATATATCTGTATCGAGTGAACCATATAAATATGCGGTCACTACATCCATTAGCCGCATTTGCAGCCTTTCAAAAACAGACATGCCAATTAAAAATCGTAAAGTAGTAGCATCAACTACTGGAGAATACGTCTCATCATAATCGATTCCTGGCATTTGAGAAAAACCTTGGACAACAAGTCGGGCTTTATATCTAACGATTTCATTTTTCTCATTGCGTTTACGCACAAACACCCATTTAAAACCTACAGGTTTTACGCCTTTTGGCGTGTGGACAATTGGTCCAAAAACATTACGCTTTTCTAGCGATTTTAGTTCTACCTGAATTGCTTCATTCCATTTTGGCCAATCGTTTCTACGACGACATTCGTCAATAGATTTAGGCTCATTGTCATCGTGTTCATTCATTATATCTGTGGCGATGGCATATGAAAATATATCGTTAACATCAATATCTTTTCTATTCCATTGCATTCCATTAGAAACGTAATTGATTGAAATTTCAAAATTATCAACGTTTCTATCTGTATCTGGAATATTTACCTCTTCAAAGGTGTTTGGATCCTCTTTTGAGGTATCCTTATTATTGATGTTATCTTCAATGCCGATATTATCATAATGTTCATTTTCTTCTTGAGAAGGTTGAACTTCTTTGGCATCACAAACTACATCTTGCTTTTTAAATTTTCTTGGTTTCAAATCTCTTGAACCAAGTGGTCTACCACGTTTTTTACGTATCATAGATTCATTAGCAAGAGTTCTGTCGCTAATCTCCGCAGGAATTTCTATTCGAGAAGGAGTATTCATAGCTGGAATATGTGACTTTGTCACTTTCTTTGAGTCTGTGAAAGCATCAGGCAATTGGTTTGCAACACTTTGTAAATGAATGATCTTTTGAATTTCTTGTTCACAAGCATTTGTGCGAGAATCAAGAAAAGATAAATCTGTTGCATTCCAAGTAATATCTTTCGTACGTGGGTCCATTTCTTTATTATCTCCCCCTAAGGCTGGGAATACTGTTTCATCAAAATGACAGTCATCGAACCGTGCGGTGAATAAGTCACCAGTCATAGGTTCTAGATAATTAATAATTGAGGGAGATTTAAAACCAACATAAATTCCCAGTCTTCTTTGAGGACCCATTTTAGTACGATAAGGTGGAGCAATTGGTACATACACAGAACAACCAAATATTTTTATGTGTGATATATTTGGTTCTTTACCAGATATTAATTGCAATGGGGAAAATTTATGATATGCAGTTGGCCTGAGCCTAATTAAATTTGCAGCATGCATTATAGCATATCCCCATGCAGATGATGGTAATCTGGATTTCATCAATAATGGTCTAGCAATTAATTGTAATCGCTTAATTAAGGATTCAGCAAGACCATTTTGTGTATGCACATGTGGAACTGGATGTTCCACATCAATCCCAATTGACATGCAATAGTCATTAAAAGATTGGGATGTAAATTCCCCTGCATTATCAAGTCGGATTTTCTTTATTGAAAAATCCGGAAATTGTGATCTCAAACGAATAATTTGAGCAAGGAGATTTGCAAATGCAAAATTTCTAGTCGATAAAAGACTGACGTGTGACCAACGTGTCGATGCATCAATGAGCACCATAAAGTATCGAAAGGGTCCACACGGAGGGACAATTGGTCCACAAATATCTCCTTGAATTCTTTCTAAAAATGCAGGAGATTCAACTCCAATTTTGTATAAAGATGGCCTGATAATTAATTTGCCAAGAGAACAGGCAGTGCATGAGAAATCACTTGATTGTGGAATTTTGACATTATTTAATGAATGTCCAAGTGAATTTTGAATAATTTTGTGCATCATAGTGCTGCCTGGATGACCTAAACGGTCATGCCACAAGATAAAGGAACTGTGGTCATTAATTTTAGATATCACATTTATCTCAATTGGACTGATATATGTATAATATAGTCCGGAGGAATATGCTGGCATTTTTTCTGAAATGTATTTATTGCCAGATCTATTTGTCGTTAGACATAAATATTCCTTTTGATTTTCAGACATGGTTTCAATGTGAAAACCATTTAGACGCATATCTTTGAAACTCAAAAGATTTCTCCGTGATTTACTGGAGTATAAAGCGTCTTTAATTATTAATTTTGTCCCTTTTGGGAGAATTACACAGGCTATTCCAGAACCTTCAATGAGTTTAGCAACACCTGAGATTGTATTGACATTAGCATAGACTAATGTCATATGAGAAAAATAATCTCTATGTCTCAAAATGGTGTGCGTTGTGGCACTGTCTATTAAACATTGTTCAAAGCCATTTGAAGAAATTTCAGTTAACTCCATATCTTTAAAAAGATAAAAATGAACAAATATTAGTTCAATATTGCAATATAAACAAGAATTTATTCATTAAAATGTACATAACTTTTACAAGCATACCAAATAAAAATTACAATACAACAAACTTTTATTGTAGAATATATTACATAACAGAATAATTTCATTTTTATTATTATTATTTTTCACCCATGACGATGTCAGTGTTCATCTCATTATTATCCATATAGAAATCAGACATATTAAATGTGGGCATTGGTGGAACGTTTTCGTTGACGTAATTAGTTTCCACGTTCTTTCCTTTTAGAGATGATTTATATAAGTCAACCAAATGTGTAGGTGTGCGACACTTATTTGCCCAATGTCCTGACGTGCCACATTTAAAACAATTGACTTTAGCCGTTTCTGAAGATTTCGTCGGGCCTCTTGTTTGATGGGGTTTTTGCTTTCCTTTGCCTTCGTAAGAGCTACTACTCTGTTTGTTTCCCCGGTTAGGTCCATTATAACGACCAATACCACGACCACGTTTGAAATGTCCACGAGCACCACTATGGGTTGCATTTGATTCATGTTTTGAACCATGATTTTGTGGACCAAAACTAAAAGGGCTACAACCCGTGGGTCTCATATTGTGGTTTCTCATCAAAATGTCATTATTCGTCTCAGCAAGTAGTAATACTGATATTAAATCAGAATACTTTTGAAAGTGCTTTTGTCTATATTGCTCTTGTAAAAGCATATTTGAAAGATGCATAGTGGATAGAGTTTTTCCCAACATTTCGGCATCAGTGACTTTTTGTCCGCATAACTTCAATTTTGATGTTATTTGGAACAAGGCAGAATTGTAGTCACTTATAGATTTGTAATCCTGGAATCGTAAATTGATCCAGTCATATTGAGCTTTTGGTAAAAGGACCTTTTTTTGATGGCCATACCTTTCTTGGAGATTATCCCATAATTCTTTAGGGTCATCTACCAATAAATACTCAGACTTCAAACTTTCGTGAAGATGGTGACGAAGAAAGATAATGGCTTTTGCCTTATTTTGGGGAGTAGCCGAATTATTTTCAGCAATTCTGTTTTCGAGGGCATTTGCTTTTAAATGTGCCAAAGCGTCAACTTTCCATTCCAAGTACTTTTGACCAGATAAATCAAGGATGTCGAACTCTCTTTTGCTAATATTAGCCATGGATGAACTACACCATAATTAATTTAAAATTAATTAATTAATGGTTTGCATAGATAATACGATCAGATATACGTAATATGTTTATATAATAAACACTATATTAATAACTACTACGTACGATAATAATAATTATATGCATCACGTTTACACATGTATTATAAAGATAATTTGAAATGACCATAAAATGATCTGTAATCGGAAACAAGTTACTATAATTGCTTCACGATTTTTTTTTAATTATCTTATTATTATTTTAATAGCGCGCCTTATTAGATAGTCCGTGACTATCACCAGAAAAACAAAAAAAATGTGTAAGCACTGGCCTGGTCTGACTTACTGGTGCACCATATGGTTTTTATAAGCATTACTCTGTATATTAGTAGATGCTACAAAATACTTCGTAGTGGAAGCTAAGTGAGCCTCACAATTATTATTCTTGTAGGGTTGGTAGGAAACAAGAACACATGCACCTTGATATCTTATTAATGCAAAACATACAATCATGCTTCATATTAATATGTATTGCTAAAGATCAAGAACTAGCTCAGATACTTCATAGAGAGCCTGGCCATCTCTTCTACACAAATCTTCTTTTACTCCATCTTTCATTTTAGTTTGTTCTGGAAGTCTTCATAAGTAGATAAAGATAGTATACAAATTTATCTCTACTTCATATTTAAATTCCGTTTTATTTAAATATATGAGTATAGTGAAAGATTTACAGAGTGTTATAGATACTACATGATTAAAAATATAATGGCCGACGGTTTTATGAAGTATAAACGATTTATTCAAATAAGAGCAGTTTTCACGTATTATCAGGAGTTCGAGTATTCAACAAGAGGTATGTACTTCCTTCTATCTCCTTTTTACAGAAAATATATCTATAATTTTCTGATATGGAGGATCCCAATTCTTGGGCAACCATAGAGCATACTTCTTATAGTTTTGAATATATATATATATATATATATATATATAAACATGTTTATACTTCTCATCCTCTGAATTTTTTTTCTAGATAAGTTGATAAATTCGTAGAAGTATATACCTGTTCGGAAGATGATGATTTCAGGGATTTGGAGCAAATTCGTGTTGATAACGTGTTATAATATGAAAGGAAATGAGCAGAAGATTAGGGAGAGAAAGTATAGTAGAACACTTAGTGATAGAGGTGTATTAGAGAGTGTGATAATGGTGTAATGAAGGTGTGTTGATTACAATGGAGAAAACTCCTATTTATAGGAGAAAAGCTAAGTTTATTAGGATTAGAGGATAATTGTGAACCACACAATTATCATCTAGAATCATAATTATGATTTCCTATATTTCAACAGGAGTGTCTTACTTAAAATGTCACTTCTTTAAATTTTAACACTCTTATTAACATTTGTTATCAAAACGTCATCATTCATTTTTCATTTTTTTATATTATTAATAAAAATAAGAAGTGTCACACGGTCAAGTTCAAGCTCAAGATTCTGTTGGTGTGTGCGCTCAAGCTCTTGCTCATGTTCGCGTTCCAGCTGTAGCTTTTGTTTACATGTACACTCAACCTCAATCTTTTGTTCACGCGCCACCGGCGGTGGGGCATAGGCTCACTCACGCGCTTACACTCATGGCCCACCGCACGCTCTCGCAGACGGGCATAGGTTCGCTCACGCGCATACATAAGCTTAAGCTCACGATCGCGCTCAAGCTCACGCTCACGAATAGTAGTTGGTGTTGTATAATGTTTAGAAAAATTCTAAAGGTACACACTTTTTGGGGTACACATTTTTTACACATGTCTGTGTAAGGTTATTTTTATGTCTGTACAGACATAACGTATTTTTAAAATACGTTATGTCTGTACAAACATAAAAAAAACCTTACAGTGGCCATCTCTAACAAGCACCATCTTCAACATCAAAATGGTGTATTTGGCAAAAAAATGCTCCAACAATAACACCAAACTTGACACCATTACACCAAAATGGGGGAGGGGGGAATAGTTTGCACTATATATGGCGTACACCATCTCTTGCACTATCTTTTTTTTGTGTTTTTTTTCTTTCAAATGTGACCTAAAGTTTTGGTTATTACAGTTTTGACCCATTTTTAAAACAACAAATTAGGAAGTTTTACTTGGACTGAAATTTATTGATCCAGTCTAATTTAGTCTGGTCTAGTCTGAATTGATGTGGACTGGTCTGATTTCTTTGTATTTTTATAACCACCCATGTTTGGTCTAATCCGGTTTGATCTGATCTGAAACAAATTACAATCCAAGTAAAAACATCCTTGTATGTGGTTTTAGCTTGTATTTGTGAAATACTACGTATTGATTATTGTGTTTTAATTAGTGAAATGCGTGAAAATACATATTAAAATGATGTATTTTAGTTTGTATGTGTGAAATAATGTGTGAAATGTCAAAATATTAAATGAGGGGCTAATGTATAAATATAAGATAGTTAGATACTTAAATAGAAGAATGGTAAAAAATTAGTAAAAAGAATAAAAAGAGAATATTCCTTTTTGGTGATGAAAATGATGTAAACTGTTGAAAATAAAATACTGTTTGATGTGATGTTTACACCATTTTAGTGTAAAAAATGGTGTTAACTGTTGGAGATGGGTCTAATGTTTATATAGAGTAACAGAGGACACGAATTATGAAGCCCAAGACACATGAGATAGATATGCTTACACGGAAACGCTCTGACAGGCTCACCTACTTGAAAATCTACTAGGCAAACAGGACAAGTAGGCGACTTTGCCACATGAGATATGTTGTTGACTATAATTTGACCACATTGGGAACAAAAATAGTCATTACTCTGGCTGCCATTGTTTGCTGGTGGTGATGCCATTCATTCGATCTTAATCCTATACTATATACTCCCTCCGTTCTTTTTTAGTCGAAACGGTCAAAATTTCAAATTTAGCAACGCACGTGTTTGACCGTAATTATATCTTAATTCTATTAGTAAAAAAAATATTAAAAATCAGATTTTGAAAATTTGTAATGAGATGAATCGAACAATATTTTTTAAAAATAATAATTTTCATAAAATAATAGCGTAAAATGCAGTCAAAGTAGAGCATGTGAATAGTGTAAAATTCAACATGTTGCGATTAAAACAGAACGGAGGATAGTACAATAAAACACAACTGGTGGCGTAGCTCAACTGGTAGTAAGGGAGTTTCATAAGGGTTAGGTCCTAGGTTCGAATCCCGGCAACTGCGATGAGGGGTTACTATGCTAAAAATGGAGTAAATGACGGAACAGAGTAGAATTTGGTCAGGTGTTTCCGAATCGCGTTGATGTATTTTTTTTGACGAAAAAGAGTAAAACGGAGTTCAGTACTCCGAATTTGAAGTGGCTGCGAGGAAGATTGAAATGTTGATAGCTTTAACGCCACAGCTTTAACGCTTTTCGGATCTGACAACTCCGAAAGCGTTCCGTCAGAAAATGTCAGCCATTTTCGGAGCTGACAACTCCGAATGCAGAACATAGGATTTCCCAACGTTTTCATTGGTCCGTCGGATTCTACCGTGATAATATTTTCAGCATAAATACTCCTCCTCCTCCACACTTTCACACCCACCAACATCTCCTATCTTCCTCCCACACTTTCATACCAACAAAACAAACAAGGCTTCTTGTTCAAAGGTTAGAGTTTATTATTATTATTATTATTATTATTATTATTATTATTATTATTATTATTATATTATTATTATTATTATTATTACAAAAAGAAGTTTAATATTATCTGTTCTTATTATTCTATTAGTAGTAATAATTGTAGAACTTTTTCATATTTACTTACTTCATATCCATTAGTAGTAATAATTGTAGAACTTTTAAACTACAGAATATTATTGAACACATTTATTAACACTAAATTAAAAACATGATAAAAAATTTAGTATTTGTTTACGTATTAATTGTAGGTTGTAATGGCTGAACGAGTTGCACACCCTGGCCCTTGGGATCGTTCTGTTTTAGTTATGATACCCGGTGAGCATCGTGCTGATCGTGTGTGGCACGAATCAGCATTTCGAAATGACAAACTGAGGTGCCATCACTATTCGTCATGTGCCTATGTTGATGATGGTCCTCGTCATCCTGGGGTGGTACGGTTGTTGAGAGCATCTGGGTTTCACGGTGTCGAGAGAATAGGACAAATACAGTTAGATTGGTCACTTCTGACTGCGTTAGTGGAGAGGTGGAGACCCGAGGTACACGCATTTCATTTGCCCTTTGGTGAGGTAGGATTGGCTTTACAGGATGTGCAAGTGTTGTTGGGGTTGCCCATTGACGGCATACCACTCATTGGTCCCACGATTACTGATAAGGCAGCGTTGTTGCAGATGTGTGCACAGTCTGCTTGTTTTATACCAGAAGATGATGATTTAAATTCAGCTACCATAAAAGTAACGAATATCCACCCCATTCCATTAACCGATTGGAGCACTGAAAACGAGGTGACTCAACACACTAGGGCCCTCATTTGGCAGTTGTTAGGTGGTTCATTATTCCCTACCACTAGTGGAAACATGGCTAGTTGGTATTTCTTGGAGTTGTTGCAGGGGAACTTAGTAGATGTGCGCCGATGGAGCTGGGGCTCAGCGGTCTTGGCCTATCTGTATCACACCATGTGTAAGGCGGCCAAGGCCCAGACTAAACAGATTGGAGGATGTTTAATCCTTCTACAAATCTGGGCATGGGAGAGATTGCTGATGGTTCGGCCCCAAGGTCATCTCCCACTTGACCATACATTGGATTTTCCGTATGCTGTTAGGTATTGTTTAAATAAACAATACATTATCTATGTTACTTTGATTATTGTATTACAAGATGCTATTTATGCTTTTAATCTACGCTATTTATTTATTTATATTATTGTTCATGGAAACTAAATCTAGGTGGGCGTGTCAACATGATTGGCAGCAAACAAACAGATTTTCGTTACGGGTATATAGGGACCAACTAGATCGGATGACGGAAGATGAGGTATAATTTGTTACTTGTACAATTCAATTTTACATGATTTTTAATTTGTTACATTCAAATTCAATAAATTAAATGATATAAATAACTATGTGTGCTTACTAATTGGGAGATATTTTTCAGTTCGAATGGATCCCCTAACCGTTGATGAACCTTCCAGCATATTGTCATGATGCGAACGATTTGTGGGCTGCGGAGGTTCCATTGATTTATACACGTTTTTCTAAGGCACACTATCCTAGGAGGTTTTGTCGTCAATTCAACGCATATCAGGATCGACCCGCTCCGGTTGTGGCAGGGCATCGTCACCACAATAGTGGATCACGATTCATGGTCGAGCTTGTTGAAGAATGGGCATTACTGTGGAACAAAATATTCCCACTTCAGTGGGTTGACGAAGGTCCTTTCATTAGTGATGAGTACCGCGAGTGGTACCGTAATGTAGGAAAACGACGACTCACAAACCCGTGTGTTGATCGTCCCACTCAGGGATTCGTTCCTGCTCACCCACAAGCGGCTATTGCGGTAACTATTCGTTTTAATTCGTAATTCTATTAATAAATCTTGTTTCTTGACGGCGTCCTTCTCACCCACAAGCGGCTATTGTGGTTCTTACAGTTGCTTGTGACACACATCATACGGCCGCATCGGAATGTTTGCATCATCTCGGATAGGCATGCGGCTATAGATTATGCATTTCGGAATGTGGAAGAATTGGGAACACCTCGATTTCAGAGACGTTACTGTCTTCGCCACATTAGAAGCAACTTCATGTCCCAATTTAGAAGTAAACAACTAAAGAAGTTGTGTTGGCGAGCGGGAAGTACCCCGATTGTAAGTGAGTTTAACCATTTCATGCAACAAATTAGGGGTACTAACGAGAGAGCATTCAAGTATTTAAATGACATTCCCCAAGAAAAGTGGGCACTTTGTTTTGATGGTGGTTGTCGTTATGGTATTTTGACAACAAATCTTTCGGAAAGTTTCAACAATGCTCTCAAAGGATGTAGGACATTGCCAATCACTGCCCTTGTACGAGCAACTTTTGACAAACTAGTCCAGCTCTTCGCCCAACGTCGTAGTGCTGGTATGATGTGGCAGCAAGCTGGATATCATTTTCCGGACAACATTCGGAAAGAGATTATGGAGCGTTGGCACCAAAGACCTCACACTATGGTTCTTCCACACAACCACTACACAGGAATTTACTCAGTCGCCGTGGATAATGCAACACCTGTTACGGTGAATCTATCGAGACTTGTCTGTGAGTGCGGTTGTTGGAGGATGAACGGCATGCCATGCGTCCATGCGCATGCTGTCTGCCATTTTCTTAAGTGCCATGTTGATCATCTTATTCCAGAGGTATACAAACTAAGTTCTTACATAAATGCACATTCCAGTGATATCATGCCATTGCCGAATCCGAATGAGTGGCCACAAAATGAGTTCATTCTTCTGCCACCTAAATACTCTTCCAGAACTTCTCGAGTAGGACGCCGTCAAGAAACAAGATTTCCAAATGAGATGAATATGCGTCCAAGACGCAGAGCACAACATGATTGATTCACATTTGTACTCTCTTATGGTGTATTATTTCTTTTCTTTGTAGTTTGTTTTAATGTTGTAACACTTTTATTAGCCATATGTTTCAAATGTACTTTTAATATGTTATGAACTTTGTTTAATTTTGAGTTCATATGACTTAATGGGTCACTTATTATTAAACACGTGATACTGTAAACTGTATTTGTAATTACTTTCAAGTTAATAATGCTGAATGGGTCAACTGTTTTTAAAACCCGTCACATTGATTAAGTATATTGATACTTTTAATCGATGTACTTTGTTATTTTTTGGTTTCACATTTTTTAATGGTTAGGTTTTTATTATTCGGGTTCAGTATTTGTGTTCAAAATATTTATTGGGTCAATTTTGTAAAACGTGTGCTTATTTAATTGAATGGGTCAACTTTTTGTAAAACGTGTATTCATGAACAATATTGTACAATTTTTACTTAAGTTGAATAACTTATGATTTATAACAAATACAAAAAAATCTTTTAAAAAAAAAATTAAATTTTTTTTTACTGAAGTGAAAAATTCAGCAACCAAATTGAGGCCAAACAAAATAAATCATCACGGTACATACGAATTCGGAGGAGTGAACTCCGAAATGGTCTGACATTGTCCAGAGACTCCGTTTTCGGACCTGCCAACTCCGTTTTGCGCTATCCCAGAAAATTTCAAAAAAAAATACATCTTTAGGAATTAGATGTTAGAAATGTGCACTTATCCGTCAAACACCCCCCTAAAAATGCATAAGACCTCTGCAAGTATCGGGGACAGAGCTCCACTCTCTATCTGTCAGATTGTGATTATAGTCCAACTTACATCATCTCAATGTACCATCCGATCGGGGTTGGGGGGCCCTCAGGGATGGGGTGTCATCCTTTTTTTTACTATAAAACACAAAATATGTACATTACAGGGCAGTTGAAGATACTTCGTACTCCCTCCGTCCCATATTTAACTCCGGTTTTGACCGAGCACGGGTTTTAAGATAGTGAGATTTGTGTGGTGGAGAGTTATGTAGAGGAGAGAGAAATGTGTAAGAATGGTTGTGAATCACATATTCTTTACCAAAAAGGGGAAAAAGAGATAAATTTGGGACGGACCGAAAAGGAAAGAATGAAGATAATTCCGGGACGGAGGGAGTATTAATTAGTTTAAGAATGAAGCTTATTAATGACTCAAAAATGTGTATATAGATGATGATCGATCATAATCTTATATACTCCCTCCGTCCCATAAAATAAGTCTCATTTTAATTTGGATCGGAGTTTAAGAAAGTGGGAATAAAGTGGAAATGTATGGTTGTGGTTGAGTAAGAAAAAGGTAAATGAATGTTAGCCACACAAAACTTTCTAAAACGGGAAATGAGAATAATTTTTTGGGACGGCCCAAAAAGGAAAATGGGACTTATTTTATGGGACGGAGGGAGTACATGATATGCCTAGCTTCTGTTCTGCATTTAATTTAGTTAATGTATATATGTACAAAAAAAAGGATGACACCCCATCCCTGAGGGCCCCCCAACCCCGACGGGACGGTATGAGTTTGCCTAGTAGATTTTCAAGTTTGTATATATGTATATATGTACAAACTTATAAAGAAAAGCATGATTCTTTTAACCTTGGTTTTTGTATTTCGTATAAGAAATTTACCTTGTGGCGAGCTATCTATAGCTAGCTATGACCTACGTATATACGTTTCGATTCTTAATGCTTTCTTTGCTTGTGAATGGAAATATGAAAGAAAATAATGCAGTTTTCTATATGGAACGTACCGCAAAATAATTAATTCAAAAAATTAATTAAGTTCTCGTACTCAATAATCACACATCAAGCACCAGAACTATTAAACAATGTTCAAAGATAGAGTACTTGATTAGTTGATTGGGTGATTATTGAGTAGGGGATTTAATTGATTTTTTTAATATAGTACATAGACCTATTTTATACTCCCTCCGTCCCCTTTTAAATGTCCCGGAAGAGGGTGACAAGAGTTTTAAGAAAAGTAGGTTTGTGTGGTTGATATTAATAGATAAAGTAAGAATAAAGTAAGAATAAAGTAAGTATGATTTTGATATTAATAGTAGTTTAATTTTCCCTTTTATCTAATTTTAGTGCTTTGACACTTGATAATTGTGGATAAGTTTTTTCATATTTAGATCTTTGACTATAGAATTGGTTACACGTACTTTAAAACTTTTTTTCAAAATTTAGTAACAGTAGTTGAAATGTCAAAAGTGTTATCTTTTGAAAAGGTCTGTTGTTGCATTACTTAAAAACAATATTACAAATAGAAAGTTTGGAATTATGGATACCAAATTTGTCACTAGTAGAATAGTTAGATAATAAAATATAAAAACCTTTATCAAAGAAATTAAAGAAGCAGGTAAACAATATTACGAAGCCTATAAATTTTATGTATATTCGAAACTTTGAACAAAGTTTCAAAGTTTTGTTTGAAACTTTTGTTGGCTTACTCAGGAAGACATGTATATATTCTCACTTTCCAAATCATTTACCCAATGGATGTTACCTTACCGCTCTCCGCCTTCATTTTGTCAGTTTCTTTAAATAATTTTCTCCAAATAAGACTAACAAATAGACAGTGGTGGAGCCAGAGGCTCAGGGGGGTTGCATTTTCGAACAAAAAACTTTCTAGAGAGGTTGATGTTTCTGAAAGAAAAACTTTCCGAAGAGGCCGGCGTGCACAAAAAACTTTCTGAAGAAGCTTGCGTTTTCAAACGAAAAACTTTCTGGAGAGGGTGACGTTTCGGAAAGAAAAACTTTCCGAAGACGCTGGCGTTTCCGAATGAAAAACTTTTCGAAGAGGCTGGCGTTTCCGAATGAAAACAGCTTGTATGGTTTCCCAACCAAACTTTGCGAATAAGGTTTGCGGTTTCTAAGTGGCTTCTTCTTCCTTGGTTTTCGAACAAAGATTTTAAGTCCAATTAAATACACCTTTAAACAATGATTTCCAGTCCTTTGATTCAAGGATTAGGCTCACAAATTGCTGAAACAAAATTTAAGGTTTCCGAATGCTCTTCCAAAGATGATTCTCGAATTCTTTCACCTCATAAGTCTACGGTCCTTTTGCTTCAACAATGGAGGCTTTAGGTGGTCATCATCTCGAAATAAGGTTTTCGAATGGACTTGTTCGTAAACCTTGTTCATGGCTAGAGAAGTTGCCAACGAAAATGTAACATGTAAGGCTCTGATACCGATTGTGGATTCCGGTTTATCCAGCAATCACATGTAAACCTTGTTTTGCCATATTGACTTTTTTGGGTCAATGATGGCAAAATTTGAACAATGATTTTAATTATTACATTTGTATATGATTTGTAAATTTTATACTTTGATGAAAAAAATTTGAATAAGGAACATTTTGATATAGTTTTCATATTAAAAATAATTATGTATTAAAAAATAACATTGGTCAAAATTGATTGTTAATTGACTAACAAAATTCAATTCGGCAAACCTTTTCGGGACGGAGTGAGTATATTTCTTCTTGCACTTTTACATGTTTTTGTTGCATAACTTTTAGATGTATGGATTTGCATCAACATAACTTTTAGGACGTGTTTACTTCAATTCGATGCTAAAAACACAATTATGTTAGTAAGACACATGAAGTAAACACACATACTACTGAAAAAACTGCTTACTTACCCAAACAGGTGCTTAAAGTTACATTTACTAAGCATATCATTCCCATATATGACATACGAGTATTAATTAAGTAGTGGTTTAAGATTTCCAGTTTCCTCAATTACTCTTATACCTCATATATATAGACTTGCATGTTTTTTTTGAAAGAAGACTTGCATGTTAATAATATTATGTTATGTTATACGGAGTATGAAATATTATAAGTAATTCCCCTACCCTATTCCCTCAACATATAGGAGTCCATGTTTTATATTTCTGAAATATGACTAAACATTACATTTCTATTCATTAATATAATTAATTTGCCTTATACGGAGTATATAACTAATTGACCTCTAGTTCTCCTAGCACAACAAAGGCAGTCTGGTGCCGGTAGAGATTGGGCGATTTGCAGTCACTAGCGACGGTGGTAGTTCAGAGGTGGCGAAGCTCTGGGAGCAGTCCACTTGGCATTGGCAAGCTCCAACCTACCCCTGTAGTAGTATTCTTTTCTAATCACAAAAAAGACTCATATTTAGGGAATTTTAAATAATTACTCCAATTTTTGTCTCTTTAATACTCCGTATGTTTTACTCATAGTATTGGAATCGTCTCATATTCTCTTCAATCCGGTGGGGTTGTCTAATCTTTGCATATTAGTTCATCCTACTAAGATTGTCTGGTACCAAATTTTGTAATGTTTGTGTGGCTTTAAATCATTCTTAATTTATTAATTCAATATCAACAACACAAATGTACTTTTTATGTGACTCTATGAGCCCGTTTGGCAGCACGAAAATCGGTTGTTTTGATTGATTCTGCTAAAGTTTATGAAGTTCTGGCTGAAGTGGCTGCATTGGCTGATTCTGCTGATACAAGAAAAAAATATTTTTAAAATATATTTTATTAATAAAATAAAGAAAATTATTTGTAAAAATAGCTAAAATGGTCATCTACAGTAGTTTCAGCCAATACAGCCAGAAAAGTAACTCCAACCTTACTTTTTCGGCTTATTACACAGTTCAGGGCGCGAAAGCAAAATTTACGTGTTTGGTAAAAAAGTTGGCTGATAAGCCTGATAAGCCGAAAAGGAGGGTTGCCAAACGGCCTCTATATATAAACTCCGTATAAAGTACTTTTATTTATGTAGGACAAGTATATTTATGGCGGTAGAAATATGTACTCTGCATCATTTCATTTTATTATATTATATTCAAATTTCAATCACAACTTTTACTTTTTCAACGAGTTTATTACTCACTCCGTCCCGCTAACAATGAGACAAGAGAGAGTGACACACAAATTAATAAAAAGTTGTTCATGTGGTTGATATTGAATTGATAAAGTAAAAATAAAGTAAGAATGATTTAGAGTCATACAAACTTTACCAAATTTGGTATGAGACGATCTTAGTGGGACGGACCGATAAGGTAAAATGGGACAATCATAGCGGGATGAAGGTAATATTAATTATGTCAAGCCAAGGTAGAACACATGTAATAAGGAGGTGTTTGGAACTAATCAATTTTCAAAAGCTGGTCTCCCCCAGCTTCTAAAAAACTACTTTTAGGAGTGTATAATTTGGAGCACAAGAAGTGTTTCTGTATTTTCTCCCAAACACCCCAACTTCTACTCGAAGTAGTTTTAAGAATGAAATACAAACCCTCCAACCATGTAGAATTTCTTCATCAATTTCATGCACCACCCTCCAACCATGTAGAATTTCTTCATCAATTTCATGCACCAGCAAGCATGTAATACCACCTTGCTCCAAAAGGCAACCAAGCAAACATAGCGAGCTGCTGCATCAAATGTTCTGCAACTATCCCCAAATAATCTCCAACAAGTTTTCTTAACGTTGACCATCTTCCACCACTTCTCATCATCACCACCCCCCTCTCACGTTCAAGAACACTAGCTGTCGTTGTCGTTGTCGTAGTTGTCGTCGTTACACACCGACAGAGAGGACAAGAATTACTAAACCTCTTCAGCCATTCAACAATACAATCACTATGATAGATATGCTTACACGACAACTCTCGTGCTTCCTCACCAACCTCAAACTCTTCCCTGCACACCGGACATAAAGCCACCGGCGAGTCACCTGACATATGAGACTCCGTGATTTTCACGGTGGGTATTGCATCAATTACTGATTCCGGCGCCGGAGGTGGCCGGGAAGAGCCGGTAAGATGGGTTTCTATTATGACTTGGAGGAGAGCAAGCATGGGACCTAAAGCGTTGTTTGTGGGGGGTGGAGGGTCCACTCCGGGAGGCAATCTTAATATAACGTCAACTCGGCGGCTTGGTGGGCTTATTGCGATTCTGTAAATATGAAACATGGGATTGGTACATCGAGGGCAGTTCATGTCCCGACAAGAAGGTGATGAGAGTTCGTACGTTTGACACTGGTAGCACCAAAAACAGAGCTGGTTGTCCACAAATGCAGAAATGAAGTCGACTAAAGTATGGCCGGAACATGTTGGACATATTCTTGTTGTTTCAGAAGATGAGAGGGCGACTGTTTTGTAACAATGGTAGCACCAAAGCTCTTGCCGGCGGTCATTGTTCTGGCTGACATTGTTGGGGGTGGCGGCGGCGCCATCCATTAGATTTAAGAACAAATTGAAAGAATGATGAGGAAATTAAAGAAAATACTAGGAATACATGTAATGCATTTAACGTCGAAAGTTTGGTCAAGGCGAAAACGTTACACAAATTAAATGATAGTCCTCTGTATTAATTATTCGAATATATATTCAACTACTTAGGTTTGTGAGAATTGGAAGTGTATGTAATTAATTAATGTACAAATGAAGAAAGGCATGTTTGCTTCTATAGTTCTATATGGATGTTTTATTTGTAAGGCATTTCTAGAGGCTTTTCTTGATTGGTTTAAAAGAATCAAAGTTAGTAGTTTCTTTGATTGGAATATTACGTGGATATCACTAAAACATAATCATATTCCCTATGAGTACTAAATTTAAAAATTCATTAAATATGACTAAAATATAGATAAGGAAAATGTATACGAATACGATTATACATCAATGCTTTCTTCCTAAAATATGATTTATTGACTCTTAAATGTGGAAGTTTTATACTTCAATTTTAAGTGGGACTAAAATTCCTTCAATTTCTCAATCTATGATCACGTTAGTTTTCTTTCTTCAAATTAATATTTTAATTGTATTATTTAAATAATATGGAGTATAACATATAAATAATCTATATATATGGACTAATTTAATACTTTGTATGCCCTCAACCTACCGTTTTATAGTACCCTAATTAACTTCCTAATCTTTTCTTTATCGATCATTTGCATGTCCGCCTGCAGCCTCCGGTCTCTGGCCTCCAGGCACCCAGCCGCCCGACAACTGACAGTCACCCAATCACCTGTCCGCCGTTCGCCTGCAGCCTCCACTCGCACAGGCGTCGTCCGCCTCCAGTCTACAACCGATCGCTCACCATCCGCATGTCGTCTGCGGCCTCTAGGTGCCCGCCCGACTCCAACTTCGAGGAAATTACCAAAATGCGGGACTTTTTGGTCTGACACGCCAAAATACGGGAAGTGCAATTAGGTTACCAAAATACGGGAGTCGGAATTGGGTGTTCCGACTAGATTATATTTCGTGGATTCCTCCTGTCGGAATTGGCAAATCCGACCAGGGGAAACCTGTTTTTTTTTAAAAATTATATACCCCTATCGGAATCGGTAAACCAAACATTTGGGTATTTTTTTTTTTAAATTATATTAGTGGTAAAAAATTCCACTAGGAGAATACCAAAACTTTGGGTTCATCCTATGGTCGGATTTCACAAATCCGACAGGAAGTTTTTTTATTACTTAATTAAAACTAATAACAAAACATGCATCTGATTTTTCCATAATAACAAAACATGCATCTGATTTTTCCATAATAACAAAACATTATTTGTATTTTAAATAAGGTGGAGTTATGTACTTCTAAATTTATTGATTTGTTTATTTGTATTTTTGAAATTTAAAATGGAAAATATAGAGTTTGATTTTTTTAATATCAAAATATTGGTTACTTTATTTTATTTATTAATCCATCCGTATTGTGAATTAAATTCATAAAATGAAATACAAATTTGATTTTGTTTAAAATGCAATTTATGTATTTTTTTTTTATTTTTTATTTTTTTTTACTCCAGGGGGCGTCTGGGGGAGGGGGGCTGGGGGTGCCTAGAGTAAACTAGGCTGAAACTCACTCCATTGAGTTTCGAACCCGAGACCTCCCGTAAGGGAGAGTGCGTCGGCGACCAGCTGGGCTGGACCGCTTCCTCAAATGTAATTTATGTAATTTCAATGAAAGTGAACAAAACAAATGTGGTTTTCAATGTAATTTATTTATAAATATGTACATACAATAAATGTGTTGTATTAACAGTAGGTTGGGTGCTCGGCCCTGATATGTCCCCGCCGCCAGTGTTCTAAACCACCGTTGTGTCTTCATGGTAAAATGACGAATCCATAAATGTGGTAAAAAATGCATCTGGCTGTGTAGAGTACTGATAATAATGTGGGAAAACCAATGGTAGGTTGGGTGCTCGGCCCTGATATGTCCCCTCCACCATGTGGTGGTGGTGGTACGTAGTGGTGGTGGTCGTGGTGGAGGTGATTGTCGTGGTGGTGATCATGGTGGTGTTGGTCGTGGTGGTCGTGGTGGTGGTGGTGGTAGTCGTGGTGGTAGTGGTGGTGGTCATGGTGGTGGTGGTGGTACATGGTGGTGGTCGTGGTGGTGGTTTCATCTAAACATTGCATTCTAAACAAAATCAAATTTGTATTTCATCTATTGGCTGATTTCGTCTAAAAAATGTGAATCACAAGTGTTAATATTAAGGGGAATTGGAGGTTTTATGACTCAGGTCTAAAAAATGTGAATCACAAGTATGAATATTAAAATTTCATCGATATATTAAGTAAATCATTGTCAATTTTACAACTCGTGTTCATGATATAGGCTAATTGCATTTCAGAAGATTGTATCCTTATTGAATCGAATTGGGATTTTTATGATTCAGGTCTAAAAAATGTGAATCACAAGTGTTAATATTAAACCTTCATCTATATATTAAGTAACTCGTGGTCAATTTAACTACTCGTGTTCATGATATAGGCTGATTGCATAAAATTCGAATGATTGTGTCCTTACTAGGTCGAATTGGAGGTTTTATGATCCGGGTCTAAAAAATGTGAATCACAAGTATGAATATTAAAATTTCATCGATATATTAAGTAAATCATTGTCAATTTTACAACTCGTGTTCATGATATAGGCTAATTGCATTTCAGAAGATTGTATCCTTACTGAGTCGAATTGAGGTTTTATGATCCGGGTCTAAAAATGTGAATCACAAATGTTAATATTAAACTTTCATCTATCTTTCAGAACCTGGATTGATAAAATTCATCTCTACTTTTAGACCTAAATACACGTGATTATTTTATGCACAACTTATACACACCACTGTGAGAAGAGTATTTTATTGCGGCCGGGCAATAAAAAAACTAAATAAGGCATTTTGGAATGCACCCTTCCATACGAAGTTTTTTATTTGGAAACCCTCTTTGATAATACCCAAATCGGGTGTAATTGGCCGATTCTGCTAACATTTATGAAGTTACTGGTTGAAGTGGTTGGATTGATTGATTTTGCTGATTCATGTAAAAATTATATGTAAAATATATATTATAAATAAAATAAAGTAAAAGTTGAATCATGATGATTGGAATAATTTAAATAAAATTGTTTCGGAATTATTAAAGAAATTGGCAATTTGTAGCAACTATTAAAAAATATAAAAATAAATAATTATGTTTTCTGAATTTTATATAACCTGAAGTGGATTTTTTTTTGAAATCTGGTCGGATTCCACACTTCCGAGTAGAGGTTTAGCCCAATTTAAAATTTTTAGTTTTTAAAACTCAAAATCAAAACCTTAAGAATTCGGCAAAAAATAAAAAAATAAAAAAACCTCCTTGTCGGAAGTCACTAATCCGACATGAGGGGAGAGTCCATTTTTTTTTGGAAACCCAACCTCTAGTCGGAACACCCAGTTCCGACTCCCGTTTTTTGGTAAAACCTAGAAAAATCCCCGTATTTTGGCAACTCCAACCCCTTTTTCCCGTATTTCGGTAAATTACCCCTCCAACTTCTTCTTCTTTTTGTATTTTATGAAATAAGGGTTGTTGGGGTGCTCAGAGAATAGTGTTGAACTGACGGTTAGGTATGAAGGTCCCTAGCCCCCCGTTTCGATGAACAAGGGTTGTGTTCTCAACCATACAAGGGGATTTGTTCTTTCATGCTCTCGGTAATCCCATAATACCTTGCATTGAACTTGTATAGTGAATGAATGCATTGAGGGAAGTGTGTTGTGCATTATATTACATAGAAGCCAATAGATATTGTCACAATGTTAGCGGTGAGTGCAATGATTATGATCAAAAGTGTAGTAATGTAGAGGAGTTATTTCATCAGTAGAAAGTGCACTATATGTAACTCGACGTAAAATACTAAAGTTATCAAATTGATATTTGCTACTCCCTCTGTCACAAAAAGGTTAACCAAATTGACTTTTCTCGATTAATGACAATCAACTTTAAATAATGATATTTTTATACGAAATTATTTGAATATGTAAATTATATCAAAATGTTCTTTATTCGAAATATTTTCATAGAAGTATAAAATTTATAAATTATACGGAGTATAGAAATATATTAATTAAAATCATTGTCCAAAGTTTGATGACATTGACCAAGAAAAGTTAATATGTCAAACCTTTTTGGAGCGGACGGATTACTTATCAGTGCACAAAGAACAAATTCTAGAATGGTTTTAAATAATGTTTACTTAGCTTTTGCACAATAACAGTGTAATCATTATTGTGGAGGTATTGGCCCATAAAGCCATGGCAGCCCTCTTTGTCTTGTTGGGCCTGTTTACTTGCCTCTGGACTCCGGCCCATGTATGTTTCTCGCTAGCCCCTTTTCTAGAACCCTCCACTACTAGAAAACTGGCTTACAGTGACACTTTTTAATGACACTTTTTCTAATAGTGTCACAAAAGGACGACATATAAGATTTCTAACAAATATGTGTCGCTATTTGATGACACAAGAGTATCATAAAATATAGCGACATTAAATGAAATTTTTGACATCTAATTTCCCGTCCTTTTGAAAATTTCGCTATATTGGAGAAGCGCTAAAGCCTGAATTAAAAACCCTAGATGGAGAAATAAAATTTCAGCGGCAAAGTAAAAACCCAGCTCTGTGTTGATTTGGTCTTTAAGAGTTCATCGCTTTCTTCCACCTTCCAACTGCACCTCTGCTACGAAGCTTTCCGACGACTCGTTCACTTTAAGCCTCCCCACACTACGGTCACGAAGTCTAACGTAACTCTCTGGTTTCGCTAAGAACTAATCATCGAATCACCGACCAGGTTTGGTAGCTCATCTTATATTTAAATCGATCTATTCTTACATCAATATTTTTGTGAATGAAAGGTTTTGTATGCATCTTCCTTGTGTTGTCAAAATCTCTATCCATGGAATTCATTATCAAGAGCAATGTCTTCTCTGCTCGCAGCAAAGAGAATCACCGCATTTTATCGATCTCATTCTCTCCATAACAGATCCGCTGAACCGGTGACGGAAGTTGTCGATCTGGAGATCCCCTCACGCGGCACAGGTCCCA